GAGAATATGACGTGTTACTAGCGTCACGTGACCTCCGCTGTCGTAACAGCATCTATTCTGCTATTCATTTACTCGGTGAGTTATGTGTTTGTTTATTGATAAACATTACGGTTTAAACGACGAAATCCAACGAACCATTAAAAAACAATAGGCCTAAAAATTGTTATAAAAACCAGGTTAACTTTGTGGAAGACAAAAGTTGGATCTGAAATACATTTTTACACTTTTCTAATTTCGAGCTGCAACAAACAGATTAAGAGGAATGTGGAAGAAAAAATTAACTTAATTTTATAGCAATTTTAGGCCTATTGGTTTCCGGATCACGGCGTTTAAATCGATCAAAACGAAGTAAGTTATGCGTTGGTACCATACACGAGAAATTTTTGTTTTAACGTTGTTTATGAACTTAGGCCTACAAGTTGTGTCAAAGAGATTGTTAGGTTTGTTTTGAATTTCGCGCAAAGCTACACAAGGACTATCTGCGCTAGCCGTCCGTAATAGGATGGGGATTCAAACCCGCGACTCTCAGATTGCGAGTCGAGCGCCCTAACCACCTGGCCAGGTGTCAAAGAGAACGTAGTCTGTAACAAACGATATGGAAGAAATGTATTAATTCGTTATAGTTACGTGGACTGGACTTCGAATTATTTTTACCATATTATTCATAATTCAAAAGAACCCGCCTTATAATAGGAGACGTTGCAACAATATTATTAAATGCATACTTTCATTCTCTCATTGTTTGTATTTTCTTATTGTTTCTAAATCTAACCAAGTTGTTGCTTTATTCATGCTCTACGTATTTCTTATTTAGTTGCTTTATTTAATATGACATTTAATGTCTGTCAGATTTTTTAAAAATAATATTATATATGTATATGTGTTCTGTTTTTTGTTGCCAGTTGTCGAAATAAATAGTTTTTACTTATATTTTTTAATAGTATAAATATATACTATTTTGTTGTTGGGCTTAGGATTCTTCTACAGTAGGTGTCTGTGACTTGTTAGCGATAAATGCAACGATGAATAAACAGTATACACTTTACTTATTTTCAAATAACATATATATTCGGAAGAAGTTCAACGTATGTACAATAAAGTGTTCACTCTATAGAGAATATAAGCATATCGTAAACGTTATGTCAGTATATGTATAGTTCTCCTCTTCTTGTCAAAATTCCATTTAGGCCTGTTCAATTACTTTAGAATTTCAGTTGACAAGCCGTACTATTTTCTTTAATACTATCACAATATTAGTCTGGTGTGATTCACTTACGATTGTGGTCTTCTTTCTTCTGAAGATCCTGTTCCTTTTGTCAAAGTGCACTAAGGCTGATTCAATTACTTTAGAATTTCGCTTTGACGGAATAAACTTATGTTTTCTTATTTCTTTTTCCACAGTTAGTTTCACTCTAATATATAGGCCTATCACTTTTACGTTACTTCAAATCAGCTATACTCTCTTTATTTTTATCTGTCTAATAATGTCTGTCTGCTGCTTCTCGCTCGTCTCACGCTATTTATATCTTTATGACATAGTCGTCTGGCCACTTTTTATATTCTCGACACCAATTAGTTATTTACAAAGCCTTCTACAATCGTCTGCTTTTAACTCTTATTATAACAAAACTTAAAAATAATTAAATATTCATTCACAAATATAAATTAATCACTGATATTTAAAACCAAACAGTCTCTTATATCATGGCGCTGTCTCTTTATTATTTCTTCTAACTTTACGTGATGACTTGTGAATTGATGTCATGTGGTTACTCAAAGTCAATCTACCAATTTATTTTTTATTTGTTCAAAATCTTTACCAAAAGCTACGCAAGGTCTACCTGTGTGCAGATGTTACTAACTTAGTCAACAGCACCCACCACCAAATCTTGGGCTACTCTAGTTTGGCTGAATAGATTGGATCTGACCATCATTTGATAGCATACCTCCAAT